CTTGTCCTGCATTGATTCAGAGCAGCCAATATCGTTACTAAATGTGGCTGTTGAAATATCTCCTACAATTCTTGCTTATTGTAAAACAAAGTTTTAAATATGTTCATTAGACCACACTGAATTCCCTGAAGATACCATAATGGAGATACTGCATTATATTGCAGCTTGAAAGAGATTTCAAAAATATCAGCATTTTTGCTTTCCAGAGGAGTCCCTGAACATCTGCTGACCCCCAGGTGAGAGACAGTGTCTGCTGCCACCTGTTGGATGCTCTCCCTGTGGGACTCTGGCCGAGGACTCCTACTTTTGGCAGGACTGAGGCCCTGCTGTAACTGGCTGCCTTCCCCTTTCCTTGACGCTGGCTACCTGCCTCTGGGAGAAGGAGGAGCCTCTGTAGGCAGAGTTTCTGCATCAAAGGGTGGGTTGATTTTGGGGGCCAGACGCTTTGCAGATAGGGATTCATGTTTATTTCCCTGCCTTTCTTTGTAGGGTTTATGTATAATTTTTGTATTCATAAGGGTCACTGTCTGGTGTGGAAGGGATGTGTTTTTCGAATGGAAAGGGTGACAAGGAGGAGCACGGAGCTGCCCTTGGTACTATGCTGGGTAGAGGAAAATAAAGAGAGAGGAGACAATTGCATTATTATAGGAGACGGGGAAGGAATCGTATCCTGGTTGCTCCCAAATTGTCTCCCAATTCAGAGAGCCTGGATAGCTTTGGCAATAGTCCCGCTGGGTTAAAACTGCTGCTGCTGAATGCCAGGGTCAGTGAAAGGGAAAACTTCAGCCATCCAGGAGTGGCAACTTCAGCCACAGGGAGTGGCAAATGTCTCATTGCAGCAGTGTAGAATCCCAGCATGCTTAAAGGAAGTAGTAATAAAACCATTGTTGAAGAAGCCTGGATCCCAATTTACTGGACAACTATTGACCAATTTCAAATGTTCCATTTCCGGGTAAGGTTTTGGAGTGTGTGGTGGTTTCTCAGCTCCAAGGATTCCTGGAGGAAGTGGATTATCTAGACCCATTTCAATCTGGTTTCAGGTCTGGCTATGGGACAGAGACAGCTTTGGTCACCTTGGTGCATGTCCTAAGCCAGGAACTGGACAGTGGGAGTCTGCCCGTGTTGGTTCTCCTTCATGGTCTCTGTGAATGCACACTAATGGGTTAATCTGCGCTTGAGCAGAGCAGCTTCAGAACCTTCTAGAGCTTTAAGCACATGGTCCTGTGACTTCCCACCTAGTCTATATCCACGCCCCCGGAGCCAAGTGCTTCAGTTCCATTTCCTGCCGCTGCTACAGCAGCAAAATGAACCGGAGCTTGTGCGTTTCACCCCCTGCACGGATGTTTTTGCGTCTCCTACCAACAAGAAATGCATCCGCCATTGCTCCCAGGTGGGAGCCAGCCTACATTCGTTGGGAGATGCCTTTAGGATACCATGGATGGGGAGGGCTGCTTTACATGTTTCCCCCTATCCTGCTCATTCAAAAAGCGATCATCAAAGCATGGCAAGATCGAGCAGACATGATATTCATAGCCCCTTGGTGGCCACGCCAGCCATGGTTCTCCCCTCTACATCAGGGCTCAGTCAATCACGTTTGTCTACCATTGCTCCCTCACCTCCTCTCCATTCACGAGGGCAGGACTCTACATCTGGACAGCCTGGAGGCTGGTCCATTGATAGCGGATGTCCTGCGTAGGGCTTGAAGACTGTCCACGATTGCTACTTATGCCTGCAAGTGGAAGATATTTTCAGACTTTGCTGTGAAAAACAACCTGCCTGTGTATCCTATTTCGCTGGATGCTCTCTTAAGGTTCATCCTCCTCCTCTTCTAGCGTGGACTTTCGCACTCTACCCTCAGAGTTTACATTTCTGCAACAGTCACCCATCAGCTTCCATCATCTGATGCGGCCAAATAATTTCAACATCCAGCATTAAAGCAGTTCTTTTTTCCTAATCCGACTACAAATTTGGAGAAATCACTTCATTCTTTAGATGTCAAGAGGGCTCTTGCCTTCCCTCTGTCCACGACAGTGTCGTTTCGGTCCTCTCAGAGACTTTTTGTCACTGAGGGACTGTCTAAAAGGATCTCCTCTTTCACCACGAACTTTTCTCCAGAAAAAGAAGTTACCTACCTGTAACTCTGGTTCTTTGAGTGGACGATCGTGTTCCTGCATCAATGCTCTTCCTGGACATCTCCAGAGCCTTTGATTCAGTCTCCACCCATACCCTGCTTCGCGTGGCTAAGTCCTCTGGTATTCCTCCTCCTCTAACTCGGTATCTGGATACGCTATATGCCCATCCTGTTGCCCAATTGGAGTCGAGATCTACAACATGCGGACGTGGTGTGCGTCAGGGTGATCCACTCTCTCCCCTGCTCTTCATCATGACAATTGAGGACATCCTTCGAAGTGCCATCCCCAACTTGGGCTTCAATTTGGACGGTTGCAGTATCCCTGTTCTGGCCTATGCAGATGACCTGGTTCTCTTTGCTGGGAGGTCTGAGAGGTTACAAGAGAAGCTTGATGGCTAGGTTACATCCCTTTGTTCTGCTGGTATGTCGTTCAACGCCAAGAAGTCGGTTGGTCTTACAATCGCCAAGGACGGGAAACACAAATCTATGGTCCTTTTTCCATCTACCTATCGTCTTGGCTCCGACAAGATTCAGCCCATTGGTCCCTCTGATACAGTCCGGTACCTTGGTCTCGAGTTCAACTGGAAAGGTCGAGTTGTGCCCAAACACACCTCAAAGCTGGGGAGGATACTACAGGACATGACTCTGAAAATTGAAAACCATTTAATCTGTAACCGTCCGTTTTTGCTCCATAGGAACTAATGGAAAGCCTGCTAATCCGTACTTTACCACTAGGGGGAAATTTCTTCTTCTTTTGACCTAAGGTGAACATAGGTAAAAAAAAAAGTTCAGGAAAGTAGGGGGGAGGCAGGGAACAGTTTTTAAAGCACTTTTAAATTTTTTTTTCAACCAAGCTGTTTTAAAGCATGTTTAAACACTGAGACATGACTCTGAACTGCATTTTAAGCCTATTTGCAAGCCAGAATTCTTCCTCCACAGAATTCCTCAGCACAGAGACATGACTCTGAACTGCATTTTAAAGCTCTTTTTCAACCAAGCCAAGCCAAACCAAAAGGCAGGAAAGGAGGGAGGAGGGAACAATGGGGAAAGAAAGGAAGGAAGGCCGGAAGGAAGGAAGGAAGGCATATAGACCCCTCAGACAAAGGTTTGTACTTTGAAGCACAAAAAGAGAGAAGACACAGAGAGAGAAGACAATGGGGGGAGAGTTTTTGGAGGCTAAAACACACATTTTAAACAAAACACATTTTAAGAACAACATTTTTAAAACCAGAAACTTTTAAACAAAACACATTCATAGCTTTCACAAAGCAACTTTTAAACCAACCCAACAACACCTTTTAAAACAAAAGATAGGTGACATAGTTTTCGTTGTCTTCTGGAGGACATCACGGAAACAAAGCAACTTTTAAACCAATCCAACAACACCTTTTAAAACAAAAGAGAGGTGACATAGCTTTCGTTGTCTTCTGGAGGACATCACTGCCAGGTAGAGGTCCCCTCCTCTGGGTAATCTTCTCCAGGGGGTCCCTGTCGCCGTCTCTTTGCTGCAGGCTCCATCCTGGTGAAAAATCTGCCATCTTCTCCAGGGGGTCCCTGTCTCTTCGCTGCAGGCTCCATCCTGGTGAAAAATCTGTCCAATGTTGTCTGTTGTCAGGTATTAGTTATACCTGTTGAATTGTTAATCCAGTTTGTATAAGATTGTAGAAGTGCCTCGTGGCACAGTGGTTAAACCGCTGTACTGCAGCCAAAACTGTGCTCACGACCTGGGGTTCAATCCCAGGTAGCAGCTCAAGGTTGTCTCAGCCTTCTATCCTGCTGAGGTTGGTAAAATGAGTACCCAGCTTGCTGGGGGGGGGCAATGTGTAGCCTGCATAATTAACTTGTAAACCACCCAGAGAGTGCTTGAAGCACTATGGGGCGGTATATAAGCAGCACGCTTTGCTTTGCTTTTTTGTAAGTGTTTGTAAGAGTGAAATTGTAGGAAAAGTCTGTAGATATAATGATTTAGGCAATACAGCTGTGATAAGAACAAGTTAGTAAGAAGACTTAGAACAGCTGCGGAAACAGAATGCAGACAGAGTAACCTGCAGAAGCTAATCACTGATTGGCTGAAGAGAAAGATAAAGCCAACAGCTCCAGCATGATCATTTTGTGGGTTGAAAGGAGGGGGAATGTTGCTGGATGGATTTATAATTTTGGATTTACAATGGACTCTGATTTATTGACTAAGTAAATGGACTGACTCTAATTGCTACTCTGTGTATGACCAAGGACTGAACGAAAGGACTAAGCTGTATGTATAATGTTTCAGTATAAGTTTTTGATTGCAAACACTGTCTGCTTAATACTCGCACACTGTCAAAAGTTATGGGCCCAGGTGGACTCTAGACCAGGTAGATGCAGTGCCAGAAGGAAGACAACCAAAGGAACGATTGCAAACACTGTCTGCTTAATATCTTCTTGGAGTGCCTTAACCTCTGGTGAAGCTACACCCTCTAGTACCCTCTGCATTCGCACATTGTCAAAAAGTTATGGGCCCAGGTGGACGCAGTGCCAGAAGGAAGACAACCAAAGGAAAAAGTCCAGAGAGACGAGAGTATCAAGAGTAAGTCAAAAAATTATTTGCAGTCCAAAAATGGCAAATGCAATAATGATGTCAGGATTTCCTGTAACAAGGTTAAATGGTGAGAATTATTCTATGTGGCAGCAAAAGGTCCAGTTATTCCTGCAAAAGGAATCTCTATGGGATATTGTTGAGAGCCCACCAGCTGCATTAGACAATGAAGATAGAGAAAAGAATAAGATTCTGCTTAATATCTTCTTGGAGTGCCCTAACCTCTGGTGAAGCTATTAGACAATGAGAGAAAAGAATAAGATTCTGCTTAATATCTTCTTGGAGTGCCCTAACCTCTGGTGAAGCTACGCCCTCTAGTGCCCACTGCATCCCACATTTGCACACTGTCATCTGTTTTGTCCTGTGCTGAAGAATCTTCCTGAAGTGGCTGACCCCATTGTCATTCATCATGTCCAAAATTCTTCCTGTCACAGTCCTGGTTGGGTGGCGCCTCTCAAAGACGTTCTGGCACTTGGTCCACATCTGGCAGATGGATTTGATCTCCTTGCTGGAAACCTGCGGTTCCTCTTCCTCAGTGGAATGCTCCTCCACAAGAGCCTTGTGCTGCTCCCTTTGCAGTTCTGCAAGTTCTTCCATCCTCAGCTCCTCTTCATGTTCTTCAACGAGCTCCCTTGTGCTGCTCGCTTTGCAGTTCTGGAAGTTCTTCCATTGTCAGTTCCTCTTCATGTTCTTCAACAAGCTCCTCTTCGTTGACCTCCAGACCCATGCCTTCACCCATGGTGATGGCATCCTCTTCGTTGATCTCCAGACCCATGCCTTCACCCATGGTGATGATGTCCCTCACCACTTGTGAACGAGTTCCCTCAGTGGCACTGTCTGCGACACATTCTGGCCACAGTTTCTTCCAGGCTGAGTTCCTGGTTGTGATGTCCTGCCAGGCCTTGTCGATGAGTCTGACACTGTGGAGGACATTGAAATGTGTCTTCCAGAACTCTTTCAGAGTCAGGGACATCTCCTCGATGGTGTTGAAGCACCTGGTGAAGAGTGTCTTTGTGTACAGCTTCTTGAAGTTGCTGATCACTTACTGGTCCATGGGCTGCAGAAGAGGTGTTCTGTTGGGGGGAGGGAAGGAGCTTGACCCTGATGAAATCCTTGTCAATGTCGTGTCCTCCACCAAGGATCGGGGTGTGTGCCAGGGCATTGTCCATCAGCAGAAGGTACCTCTCAGGAAGCTGGTTGTCTGAAAGATATCTTCTGACAGTGGGTGCAAACTCCCTATTCCAGAAACAGCTGCCTTGCCATCCAAGCTCTTGTGTTGGCCCTCCACATGACAGACAGTGTGGCCTTGTTGACTTTCTCTTGCTGGAATGCGCAAGTGGTAGATCAGCAGAGGCTTGATCTTCAGGTCGTGGGTGGCATTGGCGCAGAACAAAAGGGTCAACCTGTCCTTCATGGATTTGTGGCCCGGCAGTTTCTCTTCCTCCTGGCGTCAACCTGTCCTTCATGGCCCGGCAGTTTCTCTTCCTCCTGGGTGATGTAGGTTCTCCTGGCCATCTTCTTCCAGAACAGCCCTGTCTCGTCACAGCTAAAGACTTGCTGGGGGAGGTATTCTTCTTCCTTGAGGAATTGTCACAGCTGAAGACTTGCCGGGGGAAGGTATTCTTCTTCCTTAAGGAATTCAGCAAACTCCACTTTGAAGGCTTCTACAGTATCATGGTCAGAACTTGCAGCCTCATCATGTCTTGTTATGCAGTCGATGCCACTTCTCTTTTGGAACTTTTGGAACCACCCCTTGCTGGCTTTAAATTCTTCTTGTGCTGCACTTCTGGAGGGGTTTCTTTCCATTAAATCACTGTGCAGCTTCCTCACTTTTTCACAGATCATGGCTTCACTGATGATGTCCTCTTTCAGTTGTTTCTCGTTGATCCACACCAGTAAATTTTTTCCCACTTCTTCCATCAGGAGTAGCCTGTTCTTTGTTATTCTTTCAGTTTTTTCTCGTTGATCCACACCAATAAATTTTTTCCACTTCTTCCATCAGGAGTAGCCTGTTCTTTGTTATGATTGTGACTCCTTTTGGCACATCAATGTGTTTCAGGACATCTTTCATCTTCAGTATGGTACCAATGGTGGACTTTGCCATTTGGTATTGAGTGGCCAGTTCAGTCAAATGCACGCCATGTTCATTCTTTTTGATGATTTCCTTTTTGGTTTCAATGATGATCTTTTTTTGGGCTTGCTCTGTTCTTTCTTTGGAGACATGGCTATGGTTCAGCTCACCACAGTACACAAACATTTGGAGACATGACTATGGTTCAGCTCACCACAGTACACAAACCCTGCATCAACAAATCAACACAGTCCCTGATTTTAAGGGGAAGTCTGTGAAGTCTGATTTAAGAAGACTTTGGAGTTTTAAACTGCATTTTGCTTGCTTCAAAAATCAGCAAGAATTAAAAATCCATTGTACACCATGCCATCCACCACAGGCCCTCACAGAAAATTTTCTGTACATTTGAAACCCACAGATTTTAAAACAAAAGAGAGGTCTCATACAGTAACCCTAGAAGCCATAGAATGCAAAAATAAATAAATACAGTAAATTTTACATTTAAAAATTACTGTACAGTCTAATTTTCACATTTAATTTTAATTTAACACCAGAGTCTACTTTTCATATTTTAAATCTACACTGCAAGACCCATCAGAGCACAGAAACATAACCCCCCACCTAGCCCTAACCCCTCCAAGCTGCAAAAAAACCAGTAAATGTACAGAACAGATCAATGCTCACCCAGAACAGGCAGCCTCTCTGCTTAAAAAAAAAGACAGTCAAAAATAAAAAAATCAATTAAAAAAAAGAGAATCCAAAAAAATACAGTCTGGTACCAGGCAGTACCAGGCAGACTCACTGAAGACTCTCTCCCTAACCACTCTCTAACTGCCGGGACGAGTGAGGAAGCAGACTACTCTCTTCCCTGGCCAACAGTCAACTGAAATTAGTTCAAATTTCCCACTTTCCCTGCCTCTCTTTTTTTTTCAGTCTGTAGGTCAATTCTCCGTCCACAAGTTAAAGTGAAACTTTGTGGCCAGAGAAGTCTGTAAGTCGAAAAGTTCGTAAGTGGAGCCATACGTAAGTCGAGTGTCCACTGTAAAATTACTTTCTGAGGTAATTTGTTCCACTGTGAGGCAGCTTATACTATAGGATATTCTTCCGAAGATTTAGTCAAAACCTACTTTTTTGTAATTTGAATCCACAGGTTCAAGTCCTACCTATAGTAAAACAAGCTTGTTCCATCTTAAATTACAGCCCTTTTGATATTTCAACATGGCTAACACCTCTTGGGCATCTCCCTCATCTGTTTTTCATCAAGCTTGACTTTGCCACCCTCCTCTGGATGCATTCAAACCTTGCTGATATCCTTAATCTGTGATGCATGTGAATGGTACAAGGAAAAAAACCACACCCTCTGATAACAAAAAGTTAAATGAAATGGACTTTCAGAAGTGATAGAAACAAAACAAATCTTATGCAAAGAAGGATGAAAATCTCTACCTTCCGTGCACACACACACCTCTGTTGGATTTCTTCATGTCCTCTGGGAGGCAGTGTGACAGAGCTCATGTTATAAGACAATACAAAAAAATGGAGATTAGATGAGAACTGGAAGGACTGGTCAGCCTTGGAGCGCTTCTTCACTGGGGTTGGCCCTCTTGATTGCTTTAAGAGCACTCTCTCCCAGGAAGCCTGTTTTGACTGGAATTATTCTTTACTGATATTGCTTTGGTCCTAAGCTTAGACAAACAAAATGATACCAAGGATTTATGTGTCCCTCCTAGTCTGCTGGGACAACCCATGATCAAAGAAAGACTACATGAATTACCTTAAGAAAATTGAGTCATTTTAGGAAACTTGTATTTAGTAAGATTGCATGGGTTCCATTTGTTGTTTGATCACAGTACGTTTCTCTTTTTTGAGGTGGCCATGCTTTAAGAGTACAGCAGAACATTACTTGATGGGCTGAAATGTGTTTTTAACCAGCATCATATAGACCAAGTGGAAAGGAGTGGCTGCATTGCCTTATTTGGTTGTTGGTTACATTTAAGCTGCTATGAATTGAAATAATAATGCACCATGTTGCCCTCAGAACAGAAGTGGAAGGTGTCTGTGGAAGCTCACACTGAAGTAATTCTGTTTATCTCAAAGGTGCCATTAGCCTGTATTTGTTTTTTGGTTACACTGAAACAGATGCTTTCTGCAGAAGAAACTTCATTGAGAATGGAAAAGGTGTGAAAGATTTGCATAGGTTAAAGCGAAGGGGCTCAAAGCACCTGATACCTTGATTTGTGTATCTCTACAGTGCTGATTCTACAGTGAAAGATGTTGGTGAGATGTGCTGCATTTATTGTGCAAAACACATTTACATGTGAATGTAAATATCAATTGGTTGTAATAAAATATGTAAACAAAAGAAAGGGGAAGGGATAAGCGATTGGAAAGAACCACTTGAATGAGCTCTGCATTCCAAATGCCATGAAATGTCTCATTAGAAATTAAAGAAGTCTGGATATTTGGAGAGCTCCTTTCTCCTAATGAGACAAACAGAGAGATGAAATGTCAGGTTCTGCTCCCATATCAGTTTAAAATCTGTTTTTTCCCCCCTTCTTAAAAAAAACCAAGCAGCAGCAGACACAAACAAAAGGAGCAAAGGAAGGGTTCTTCCATATTCATTATGGAGATTTCTAAGAAAGACAAACCCAGTTTTCAAAACCCTTCTCTCGGCATATTCTTCATGGAAATATGCAGCTGTTTGATATAAGATTATTTTTAACAAAATCAAAATGTCAAGCAATTTTTTTTAAAAAAGTTTGAATATTTGATTTGATATAATATGTTTTTTTAGAAACCACTAGCCATTAAAAAAAACAAGAACTGGAATTAAGGATTTTTTGTAGGTATATTTTTCACGTTAGCATTCCACACAAGGAAAGTTAAGACTCACAATTCATTGGCTAATCTTGATTCAAGAGAAGAGCTATGCAGCTTAAGAACTAACACTACTGTCAATGAATATAAGGAAGAATAGTGAGGAAGTAACTACTGATGAATCTAGGATGTTGACAATGAGGAAAACAGTTTTTTATTTATGCATCATATGTGTACACTGCCTTTTCCTCAAAGAGATCTAAATAAATCAGGAAAAGAGGTGGCTAGGCTAAATCTACAGTATGTCGAACAAAAACAACACACCTTGCTGAATGGATGAATGCAGAATGCTGTTTTTCACCAGGACTCTAGCTGGGCCATCTGGAAGTCACTTAATAGACTCTGAAGCAAAGTAGGAAGATAATTAAGTAAAATAGAGCTACTTGGATACAGGACAAATTTTCTGTGACTGTAGAGAAATTTAATCAATGCACCACTTACAGGCATGCAATTTATGTCCCACCACATGCACAAAATAAGATCTAGCATCAAATGGCTGAGATAACGCTATTGAAGTAGCCCGCTTCTGTTCAAAAACAGTCTAATTATAATTATCTTAATATTTTAATTTGTTTTTTAATTTTACCTATATTTCATACACATCCCTAATTTTAAGTTGTGAAATGCTCTGATATGAGTAAAGAAAAAT